CTTTAATTGGTGTGCCGGACGATAAAACCAACTCGGAAAAAAGGTTGCTTTGGCAAACTACATGTTTGATTGAAAAATGTGGTAGGATCCAGTCTCGTGGCTATTTTAATTAACGCTTCCATGAACGACAGCGAATAAATGCAATATCGGCGGGGAAAAAAAAGGAGAAACTCACTGAATTGGCTCTGCTTTACGGCAAGACGAAGTGAAGTCTCTTCAACAAATCGACTACACCATGTGATATTTCGCGGCAGTCTTCACATTGGATGACGTCATGCCGCCCAGCAGATCGCTGTTCCATTTGCGGTTTGTATTTTTGGTGGTTTCGGCGAGATAGCCTTCATGTCACGCCACAAGCAAGCTCAACGATTCGCCCAAACATCGAAATATTTCGTGTAATGCTAAGCAATTTAATGTTCAGATAGAGCGTCTGATGTTCTGCAAAGTTATTCGACATAACGCTAAGCCATTTCACGCAACTCTACACCATTTGTGTGTACGCTGTACCATTCGACATCACGCTGAGCCATTTCACGCAACGCTACACTGTTTGTATGTACGCTGTACCATTCTACATTACGCTGAGCTATTTCACGCAACGCTTCACCATTTGTGCGTACGCTGTGCTACTCGACATTACACTGTGTCATTTGACGCAACGCTAAACCGTTTGTGTACTGTATTGCAAATGAGTGCTAAGCTATTCGTAATTGAGCAAGTCCATTTCACAATTTCATGTTCCAACTCGACATGGGCAACTAGACCGTTTATCATTTGGCTAAACTATCCATGTTTAGGGTGTTCTGTTTCACGAAGGAAAACTAAACCGTCTAGAATTTGGCCATGCCATTCCTTTATTAGCTATTCTATCCTGCAGCTAATCCTTAAACCAGCTTTGTATATGCTGATCTATTTGAGATCCTTGTAATTTTGGTGGTGACGGCCGCCCATAGGAAAATGATTAGAGATAAAATCATGGGAAGTTGCGGTTTTTTCTATTTCATTCGAGGGGAGCTTTCTTAACTTCTTTGTGGCGATTATCGGATGTCCTGGAATGTTTAGCGAACACCTCATACAACCAAGAGGCGTCAAACCTTGGCTTGAGTTACTTACGCAAATTTGCTGTCGGCACATTGAATGTGCAGCCAGCTCATTTGCATAAAAGTTTTTTCCGACGCAAAGCTCGTCACGTAAAAAAGAGAAAAAAAAAAGTCGAGTCTTATTAATTCTTCGATCGTACGTCTTGCACTCTCATCCGCAGAAAAATTCTGCTAGTCTGAGTGTTGCATAAATTTGCAAACACTTACCCTTCAAAATTTATCCTCAAGGCATTGGGAAGTAGAATACGGGCATGATTACAACTGAGGTATGGATGAAAAAGAAGATCTGAAGAAAGTTTAGTTTGATTAGGTTTTGTTTTACTGTGTGGGGATTGTAATCACCTTTAATAAAACGAGCATATCGTTAGGGAGTTGTCCCCGATTTTTTAAAAATTCTTTTTTGACCCCAATTTTTAAAAAATGTTATGGATGATGCCTCCAATGCGTAAAAATTGCAAACAGAATGAAATAAGCACGCTATATGCTACCTTAAAAAATTAAGAATCTCTCAAAATTTTGTATCCGATCTCGAAATATTCGATCGTCACAGTTTTGTGATAAGTATGGAAGTCTCACTGAAACTTGTCAAAAATTCCCCGAGTCTGCGATTTGTTAGGAAGGCCGGGGGTTTGGTGCCATTGTAGCTTAGAGTTATTATTGCACAATTCTCCAAAAAAGATATGAAATGATCGAGAAGATATGTTAAATAACACATGTAAAATACAATGAAAAGGAAATGAAGAGTAGAATTTAGAAAGAGCCTTATAAAAACCTTTATTGCTTTACATCTCAGTACCCAATTCCCTATTTGTAAAACGTCCTAATAACACAACGGTGATACGAGCATTGATCAAATTGAACTGTACACTAAATTTTATTCTATAGGAATTATTCGCTACCTATTCACATTGCAAAATGGATAGATAAATAGTCATGCACGCTCGTTTGTTTAAATTAGCTGATGTTTGTGTTTATGAAAAAGCTCAAGTTTCATATTCCCAAAGTTTTTTGCTAGGAAAGGGAGGGCAAGGTTTTTACTCTATCCTTCCTGTCAAGTTCAAACGATATTCATCTCTGCAGTATATGAATTAGAACGAAGTTTGTCTCTGCAGTATATGAATTAGAACGAAGTTTGTCTCTGCAGTGTGGCTGTTCTATCTTTCCAGCTCTCAGGGCCAGCTTGAAAACAAAAACTGGATGTACTGAAGATGTCTGACTAGCCTGCCAGTCAGCAGGCTAATTTCAAATCGCGCTCGGCCGGTTTGAAATTATTCGCCTAAATACTCCCTGGTTTGTACTCAACTCAATCTTGTTACCATCAATTTTAGCCATTAATTGTTATTCTATCTCTTGTTCAATACATTTTTCCAATAATGGATAAAAAACTTCGAGGAGATTGATGCAAATGCTTTCGGAAGCTGACGTAACCTAAGCAACACTGTTGAAAACTTGATTGATTAATTGAAGTTCACCGAATGGTTAAGATTGAGCTGTATATACAAATCAGTGACATAAAAAAAAAATCATATAAAGCTAAGAATGAAAACCCAAGCCCTAGCAGGTATGATTTTATCAGTCAATCTCTGTGGTAACCCACGGACAATGTCAAGATATTTAACCAAATCACGTTATTAAGCACACGGGGTTCCTACGATTACCGTCTCAAAACTTGCCAGAACGTCATCGCACGTGTTCTAGAAGTTTAAGAAAAGTACCTTATGCTATTGCAATTGTTAGTATATACTAAAACAGAGGATAGCGATAAAGGCACGCTCTGATTGGCTACTCAAAATCCAAATATCCCTTCCTCTTCACCTCCGAGCAATAGCGCAGGATTTGCGCCCGAAAATATTGTAATCGTCGCACGAATAAATGAGTTCAAATCTTCTTTTTGTGCCATTTTATCTCACTGTTTTAGTATATTATGTCAGTGGCTTGCGGTGGATTTTAACTTCACCGCTTCGCAACTAAGTAATATCCATTTCGACTTCGGTGAATAGTTGTTAATAGTTGTTAATAATCAAAAGTGTCTGGAATCAAAGTAAAATTGGCAGACTTTTTTTTTTTTTACTCTTGTACAAAATTATCAGAAGTCAGATACTATAAAATATTTACTGCTGTCTACTATTTTGTTTTTTAGTCGTAAAAAAATTACTTCATAGAAAGAAATTAGAGTTAATTGTTCATGTTAAGAGAGAATTGCCATATTTGGGAATAATTGTCGATGTCACAGTTATCTACCGTCACGTGTTGACCACTCTTGACGTCTTTGCTGTCCAGGCACAAGCCAGACTGTCTGTGGCGCAGAGTGCGTTTAGGGGTGTGTTCCCACATCTGATTGACAAAATAATCACGTCATTTTCAATAAAGTGGATAACTTTTCTTTTGAAGTTCAATGGCGCGAGCATGCCTTTCATTCTCAGTGTGCGCACTGATTGCGAGCGTTTACACATTTAAGTGTAGCAGATGGAATTCTCTTTGAACAACATTTAAACTAACACGTCAACGACGTCATAAACTAATGGTTCCAAGAAGCGATAGCTGCTCTCTACGCCCCGAGAAACTCCTAGTTAAGCATCTTCAGCGATCTTCAATCTTTCCGCGTGGTGTATATCTCGATGAACGCGCGCTGACGAATGCATCAATAGTTCATTTTAGGTCTCGTGTAGTTCACAGCGCATCCTAGCGGCACATAATTATACGCGTACCTAGCATAAGAATATCAACAAATTGACGGTGTTTCTTTGGGGCTGAGGCTCGCCAGTGAAATAATTCCTTTTTATCTTGTGAAGAAAACACTGTGCCGACGGTTATTACCCTTATCCAACTTGAGTAGAACGCGTAACTATATGCAGGTGGCAAATGCAGCGGAAACTTTGGCTCAGTTATTTCAATTCCCAGAGCTTATGTGGTCTGGGACTCGCATTCTTCACCTCCAACTCAGTGGTTGGGCTGACTGTTCTCAGTTTGTCTTCACGGGAAGATCTACATGAAATCATTGTGAGGATTACTAACCTGTTCGTTGTCAGTATCTCGACAGCCTTCTATTACAACTGGCCTTCCAGGCGAAGAGTCTTTGAGCGTCAAACACATGTCGTGGTGACGTACTAAACTTGTTTTTGTGAGAGCCCACTCCTAGAGCACGAAGAAAAAAAAACAACAACAACAACAAAAAACAAAAAATAAATAAATAAAAGAATCGAATGGACAAGAAGCTCTTGGCTATTTCATTATCATCGAGTGAATCGTTGCAGGCAAGCGACGTTCCGCATCATTTTATCAAATGTGTTTGTGTTCGTCCTGCCATTTAATAACGCAATACCTGATTTCCTGCCTGTCCGTGACAATCGAATAGGCCGATAGAGCCGCCGGCCTGGCTACCAAGTGTATCCAGACATTTCTTGCCTTGCTTCAACTCCCCGAAGGACACATCCTTTGAATCAGGGACTCTACGATCAAGAACAGAAATGGAGAGTTTGATAGTTGAGAGTCGAAATTTATTCGGGATTTATTAGTGGTGCTCTGGCTTAGAGAACTCTCCGAAAAGTGGATGTAGATGACGTCGCCCCATTGCACGGTCGCACCAAGTTCCGTGGCTCCCAAGTAAAGTTCCGTTAGCCTGTGGTATGGTTGCGTCACTCCCAACTAAAAGCTGCGTCGCCCTCAACTTTTAAAACTTCATTACATGACTGTAAAAGACTTTGGGAAATTTCTGAGCCACGATTTTCTATTTTCAAGGTGCCTTTTTTCGCTAGATGTTTTTGTTTACATAAGTTGTATTATGCAGGGTATCCTAAATAGTGGGTGTTTAATAGTGTCATGGAAACTATAGTCCGTTAGCTATTGCACAAAGGCGTGAGCATTGTTAATTCGTAATCACATAATCAGAGACACCAAGAAGCTAGCAAGGTTGTTAGTAAAGAAAGCGAACGTACTGAAGATCTGGATAAACAGTCTCCAAATACCACTTGAATGGCTTGCATTTTAGACGTTCCCGCAGCTCTTTTCTTGATTTCACACTAAAACCAAAGAAAACAACCAATCATACCAAAACATCACACCAAGCAATAAAAAAAAGAAAAACAGAAAACAAACAAACAAAACAAAAGAAAACAAACATACAAAAAAATAAATAAATACAAATTCGACTTTGGGGATGACTTACACTCAGGTATTTGAAATGTCAGTCACCACTACCGACAGCATTATTTTCAGGACTACCCTCATCCGGACGATCAGACCACACGATTTACGGTAACACATAAACCAATAAAATAGCTTCTACATGGAAAATAAAGGCATTCCTCTTTTAAATCAAGGATAATATTTTTCTCTAACTGCCACGTGGAGCACCTTCACCGGTTTGTTCAAATCGAATGCGTTTCAGTCTCTCGTCACAATACGCACGTTTTTTCTATCTCATCCATTCAGAGACGAGCATTTAATTTCTATAAAATAACTGAGACACTACGAGGATCCTGATTGGTCAAAAACCTCTCGTTTATCGTACCAGTAAAACCCTTCGTTGTTTTACAAAGCAATAGACCGCACTCGAAAAGTTTGTTAATCACTCGTGATTTACAAACATTTCTCGTGTTCTCCCATCAACCCGCGTGGGTTGTCACACCTCTAAACTGATCAACTGATGTCCTACTCTTCTGTTTAAAATTTCTTTACCTTCCATAATTGGCACTCCGCGCCATGGGACGTGCAGCATAATAGAATCTCTTGAACTCGTCCATCCAAACCTCAGCCGTTCGGCGGGTATTCCTACATAGACATGAATAGCCTACGTGAAAAACTTTCACTGAAAGATCCCGATTGTCAATGAAATATCTCCTTGTCAATACCATAGCAAATGTAAAGAGGAAAGTGTGGAGAATATGGATATTAATCTAAGGGTGTAAAGGGTTAAAAATCCCTTTTGGATTACAGAGTAACTTTCAAGATAGAACTTTAAAAGGCAAGAGTGTGACGTAACGCGCCACCATAACCTACTTCATGTAAGTGTTGGCATTTCCATCAGGAAATGAATAGGGATGTCTTTTTCTGAACACGTGACCAACTCTTGAACAAGGAATGATTTCCATGCTTCCTCCACATTGCCATGTCCTGAAGGAGATTTCTGTCAGAAACGAAAAAAAAAACGATCTCATTATTGCTATCACAGACCTGAAAGACTCTAAAGCCGATGGACAGGAAGATGCATTTACTGTTATTTTCCCCACTTTTCCTCTTTTATTTAAAATACATCTACACTTTTAGTCAACAGTTGACCCACTTACCAAAGTTTTCTCCGCCCCAGATGTCCATCATGACGTCATACTGCCCTAATTTCTCGAACCAGGCTTTCTCCACCACAAATAAGCCACCAGCAATCATCGGCGTTCTGAAGACAACACAATAATTAACAATCATCCACCGAAGTGGAGGTGAATAGGGGTAGATATCTGCTGACACTGAGGTGAATAATTGTTTCAGTATACACCGCAGAGAGACAAAAAGAAAAGAAAAAAAATAGTTTACTTCTTTAACTAAACCGAAAAATAGTCGGAAATTTTGGTCGTGATTTTGTCCTATCGGCTGCTACTTCCGAACCAGCCAATCAGCGCGCACGAAAAGCACTATTCATCTGTGTGGAATATACTAATTAACAAAAATATAATTGATACCGGCGAACTGTCACGCTAGCTAGCATCCCATCCAGGGGGAGTAAAAATAATCCATATCATTTGATGTCACAGAAAACAAGCTAACTGTGGCAGTTACACAAGAAAGTTTTATATGAAGTCTCCAGAAGAGAAGGCCTTTAAAATGTCACGCACCACTACTCCACTCTCTCTGCTTATTTCGAAGGGAGCGTTACGTGACGCTCTGTAAAGGAAAGTGTCTCATATGCAGATACGTTTATCATCACATGTAACGCAACAAAATTGCAAAACCAAAGTTCACGCAGACTGCATACAGCAAACAAACGCCATGTACATTATGGCTTGGATTACATGTGCTGTTATGTACCTAATTGGTGCCACTGGATTTTTCTTTCTCGCTTGTTTCTCTTTCGTTGTTAAGCTGTCCCACTTAAAATGTAGACTCCAATCAAATCCTAAAAGAAAAATGTCATAAATGAACAACTGAGTTAATAAATTTAGAAGGAATGGCACCAAATTGTAAGTATACGACAAGTATGTAAAATGCATCAATTGTTTCAAAAATCAGATTGAATACACACTCTAAACAACTTGCGATCGATCGCTGTCACGTAATGGCATACTACACCATTTATCTTCATGTTATGTCAAATCTCGTTTCTCAGTTCACGTTATATCACCTCTAATCCCTTTCCACCCAACCATAACACCTCACATCGCACCAAAAATACGTCACGTCACGTAACGTCCAGTTAATTCACGTCACGTCACATTACACACTCTATATCTGAAGTCACATCACGTTATAGTATATAATTATATGTATTTTAAGCCGATGAAACCTCACCTCCCTTAATGTCTGCTGAAGCTCCAAGGTAATTAAAATCATCCATGTTGATTACGTCAATAATTGGACTAACTACAACTGTTCTATCCTGAAAAAGGGAAAGGATAGAAAAAAAAAGTGAAGCTAACGAGTAGTGATAAAGACACTCACACCAAATCCGCGTGACTGAAAAAAAAGTAATCAATATTGCAATAATATAATAATAATCACAAACACTCTTTTATGATTTACACTGTATCATTATTCTACCCCAAGCTCAAACCAGTGAAAAAAAGAGAAAAAAACGCGCCCAAAAAAATTGGCGGTAGCCGTTTCCGTTAAAACCAGCATTTTATTTCACACTTCTTTTTCCTTTTCATCGCTGACTGAGTGTTTAGCCGACGCTATGAATAAAAGAGGCTTACATATCAAAGGAGTGAAAATGTCTTTCAGCTTTGACCAAGATTATAGCAGCAACACTAATTATCCTTTTTGTCTTCCCAGCGTTTCCTGACTGCTCATTCAGGTTGTATTAGAGTCAAGAGGATTTAACCCTTTCACTGAGAATTTCACCCAAGGCGTACGTGGAAGAGCATCTCCAAAGCCAGTGGAACGTATCAAGTATAAGGGTCAAGGAGCAGGGCGGGGTCAGGAGGCACCGATATATTCTCAGCAAAAGATATATTCTTACCTCTACAATTCTCTGTAATAGAGGCTCTAACCAGCCAACATTACACTCACAGTGGCTGTCAAGAAATGTTAATATAGTGCTGGTGGCAGCATTTGCTCCTTTAACACGAGATCGTATTAACCCTGGAAAAAATGTCAGAGCCTCTTTCAAGTAAGTTAACAAAGACGCCCTGGGGTTTTCTTTTAGTGAATAAAGAAGCAGCATTTTATAATTCCTGAAGAGAATTGACCACAACACTCAAGTTGACTTGCTCTTTACTGTGATCTGCATGTTAAGTTAAATACTCCCCACTTTCCAAATCACCCATCTTTTATAACAAGGAATGGCTAATTTAGTTTCAAATTCACAACTTTTAGAGTAAGATTTAATTGAGTTGAATTTTTGATTTTATACTTTTTCCAGTGTGAAACATCAAATCCAATTGATCAAACATGACTTGGCCTTGCCAATTTTCTCTCTGAAAACAGTAGACTTGACTCAGTCCAAAAGGTGTACATGTGTTAAATAGAACTGGATGGGCTTTGCACTTTATGTATAGGTTAAAATCTAAAATTCAGTGTACCTTCTCTTTTGTCATTTCTAAGAACTTTGACCTTTGGAAGCCCTAACAAGAGCTGACCATCATCAACTGTAAGCCAAAAAAGCAAATAAAATTTATTAGTGATGAAAATAAAATATATGACAACCAATTTAGTGTAATACTACTGGCATATGATCATGCATGATAACAGTTTTAGACACTATTTAAAGTTCTAACCAAAACAAATTTCTTTACATTGCTTCTACAGTGCATGTCAGCTTTTGTAGTCAGGAAACTTTTATAATAATTATAGTCCACTTACCATTATCACTGAAGTCATCTACTAATATTATTTCTGTGATGAGGCTTGGTGGACTCTTATTTAATATACTGAAACAAAATGGAAAAATAAATAAAATAACTAAATTCTAATAAATCCTATCAAGTAATTCCCCCATATTCTTGATCTATGTTTAGCTCAGTTAAGAACTCAATGCTAAATGGACTGTCTGCTCATTCTGGTTTCCAGTCCTGCTTTCCAAACATTGGCTATTTTTTTTCCAGCTGGACTGCCAGTTTCAGCTCCTCATCCACCCTTGTAAACAGCCAACTGGTTTACCTCTACCAGTTGGGGTTTGTTATTACTTTTTATTATTAATCTAAATTGTGCTTTTTACAAGGATTTCCAGCCCTGAGAATAGCCATAATTGCACAGGTGTAAAATTAAGGTATTTTTTTAAAGTTTGTTTGATATCACCTATAAGCTGCTGCCTTTTGTGCCACTCAGTCAGGTTAACAAATGAATGACAAAGCATTAATAATTCTCAGTCTAAGGTACATCGTTGAATATTTTAAGTCAGTTAAGGCTAATGGTGTTTATATGATACACAAAATAATAGTTGCCTGTACAGTATAGATATAGAATTTCTTTTTGTGAGTTCCACTCATGACACCAATGTATCTCACTTGTTTGCTGTGCTGACACTCATGCAATATCTACTTGAACACTCAAGGAGAAATTCCATATCTCTGTGTGGCCATGCAACTGTATTTTTCTCTATTTTTTTGTATGAAGCAGCATCATTTGTGCTTTATCAGAAACCCTGTTAGGGTTCTACACTGAAAATGGGGCAAGTATGTGTAGGGTGGCAAAAAACTGAGGGGTCATACAAGACAGGAAAGAGAAAGATTGGTAATCATTCCTTAAATGCTTATTGACTGAGTTAGGTCGGGGCCAAAAGAAAAATACTTGGCTAGCAGTCGTGATCTACATGTACAAACTTCACTGCACTTGGTCTGCACATGACCTCTAGCCAAATATTTTCCCATGGGACACACCCACCCAGTCATAATACAAAACATGTGTTGTGTTCTTACATGTACACTGTAGTTCTGTTGATGGTATTCTCAGCTGGAATAGCTTGGTGTACCTCCCTTATAGACACACCTTGTAATACATATATGTATGTATTAACTGTAATTTGTTTTATTTATGATTAAAAAACCTCACCTTTTAACAGTTCTAAGAAGGGTTGATCTTCCCTCATTGTGAAATGTTATTATAACAGTTGTTGCAGGTAGTTCTTTAGAATATTCTTTATATCTACATCTGAAATGAAAACAAAATTAAAAGCAAATTAGAAATGAATTGTACATGTACATTATAATATGGAATAGTGATAATTAGTAAAAATGATTTGGCTCCACTACTTTCAACACCATATGCACAGAGTCAAAAATGTCAGTAGCTTTCACATTTTATACAGTCACGTACAGTGTATGTACATTGTACCTGTAATTCACTGCTTTAACCATTTAACTCCCAGATCAAATTTTTATTTCTCCTTTCTGTCAACCATACAATTCTCATCATGTTATTTTAGAGAATTTAAGTATTGAATCAACTAATTATCCCAAAATTGAAATTTGTCTCAATTCTCATCATTTATCTGTTTGATATTGTATTGATATTGTAAGGAGAAATTCTGTCTTTGTCACTCATGGGAGTTCAAGGGACAATGATCAGATAAGAAAATTTTGGTGAGTGGAAAAGAACTGTATAGAGAAAATCAACCCACTGACTTGCACGACCAAGAACTACAAATCATAATAAACTGTATATACATGTTTGTGCATTCACTTCCACTGCTTAGTGTAAACTTAAGGTCTAAATAAATTAAGCCTCAAATGATTCACTAATCATTATTCATATGGTTCAATAACATTAAGTCTCACTGCCAAGTTTGCATGTATTGAGTAAAAATATCAGTTATATTACAAAGTTAGATATAATGCTCAAAATCCAAAACTAATGAAATGAGAAGGGAATTTGCCAGCCTGATTCTCAAAATTATACCGGAGATCGAGTCTATTTTTAACAGAGGGATTTGAAACCAAATATATCCCTTCCTGCATTATCACAAATTCAACCAAAATAACTATCATTACAACATTTACGTGTAACCAAGTTTTTGACCAATCAAAATGCTACTTCAGAGTGGAATAGGAAGAGTTGTTTCACAAGAGTTTGTGGAATTCTCTAGGATAAATTTCCATGGAAGAGAAAATCACAGTTTTGTTAAAACCAGGTTCAAAATGTTCCAGCTGAAAGCTGCCAAAATTGAAAAGGACTTGTTCAACCTTTCTGGCTAAATGACATGAAAACTGATTCTGAGAAAAAATTCTCCTGGTAAAAGGCAATAAGTCCTTACTTAGGTCATTAGTCACTTACTGTGAATGTCTAGTATCTGGAACTGTTCTATCTCCCCCAATAGCATCACTTGCGGCTTGATTAAATTGATTCCTATCATATTTATCTTCTCCATCCTTCAGTGCTCCACCTTTAAGATAAGCCTCTTCATCAAAGGCTGGTCTTTCCACTCCTACTTCTTTGTGAATATACTGTGGATAATACATATTTAATATGAAAAAGGAAAAAAAAAACATTTATTACAGTTGATTTCACAGGAAAAGAGTCAGAAGTCATGATCAAAACTTAGGAATTTTAAGTTTATCTTTCACCCCATTTACTCCCACAAGTTAACTACTAGTAAGGAAATTTGTGATTGTGACTTTGGGATACTAAACTTCTATTGCCCCAGAGGCATTCCTGAAATTGTTACTGACAATGATTATATAATAAATCACTCCTTTTGCTGCAAAAGTTAGATGGTTTGGTTTTACATTGGACAGGTGTTTATATAATAAATACAACATTACATGGTCACTTGGAGATACAAAATGTCTCTTCTAATGTTGAAAAAATACTTCACTCTTTCCCTGTTCTCACTTGTGAAATCTTTGTCAGCACTCAAAGAAAAATTTTGTGTCTCTGCATGGCCATGAAATATCCTCTATTTAATTTTGAGGAAGTCTTGACACCTCCCAGAATATTATTGAACTGATGCATTGAGAGGAAGTTTCTTTAAGTAGCCAGGTTAATCCAGAAAAGGTCATCAACATCATATTGACAGATGAAGATAAAGAAAAACAATTATGCATTAAATGGTTTCCTGTTTCATTTGTTTTATAATTCCTAATTTACTGTATGTACATGTATATCATATGCTTTTTTAAGTATCAACCTTTGGAAGTCACAAATTGGACACCCTTTGCCATTTCTGGAAATTTTAGAACTTTTTGAGAAAATCCAAGTAAAATGAAGTGAAATGAAGTGAAAAAATCTCAATAAATAGCACTGTTCACATATACAGTAAAATATTGGAAAGTATATCATTGTGAATCAGTTAAACTCTGTACATAAGCTGTCTTATACATGCAGGTGCAAAATTACTCTTGAACTACAGTATGTCTGACAATTACAAAAAAATTTAATGAGAATCTTGAAAATAGTAACAACAATAATGTTAATGACAAGGATAATAAAACCAATGGTGATGAAGATGACAATAATGATGATTACGTTAGTAATGACCTACCAAGAATCTAGGATGCAATTTTCATTGGAACTGTCATAATAAGCAAATTAGGCCACACTTTCTATTGCTCTACTGGCATAATAACCCATTCAGGATGTTGTGACTCAGAACACAAGAAAAGTTGGTAAATGACAAGATGGAAACAAGTGTTTTAAAAACTTTTCTTGTGTTCTCCTAACATCCTGTATAGGTAATTATGCTGTAAAGCGACAGTGTGCAGTCTATCACTTTCATAAAATAACCAGAGGTTTACTGATGCAGTAAATGATAGGTTTTTGATTGATTACAATCTGGATATACATACAGTATTTTCATTGCTTAGGATATGTGTTGTTACAGGGATATTTCTATTTAATTGTGGGTAGATCTGAAACAAAAGTTGTTTTTAGTAGGAAATGAGTGGTAATTTTCTTCTTGACATTAAATTGAATAGTTAGAATGATTCACCTCAAATTTCATCGGGATTTCAGTAGCAGTTTTATTCTACAGTCTGAATCTATTATAATAAATTGTTGCATTTTATCTTAATCTTTCCAAATTGGAGTAATATGCAAACATTATTTTATCAGTTGGTGGGAGAGGACTTTGCCTGAAGGCACCAGTCAGAGTGTTATTTATTTACACTGTGAGCATCTGATGGTGCGAATTCGTTTTGTGAGGTTTCTCAGAAATTTTCCAAAATTTTGTTCGCCATCATCATACTTTGCAAATATAATTTATCCCATTTCAAGTTCAATCGACGATTCGTACAAATAAAATTTGTCCTCAGAAATAGAAAAAAATTGTAGGTTTCTAGAGAGGAATGAAGTATCTTAAATAAAAAACAGTCAATAATTTATAGAATCCTAACAGCTTTCCCACTGAGATGGGAAAATGGAAATGATAAAATTCAATGGAAATCTTTGTCATTTAAGAAGATCTCCTCGGTTACTCATTGTTCAATTGATAATGATTCTCATTGGCTTATTACCTCCAAAGAGAGCTATCACCTCTTCCTGTTATCAAAACCATTTCAAGGGGCAATCCATGGATTGGTTAAAGAACTTTATCTTATAGTAGCACAAACATTTTAAAATACACAACCTCGCACAAACTGAGGAACAATACGAATTCTTACAGTACCTTTGGCGGCTCGCTCCGTAATAACCCCGAATCCGATGTGAAATACAGTATTCCTAAAAGCCATATCACTATCAAAGCAACGGCAAAAACTCTCCTTTTTCTGATAATCATGATAAAATCGGAGCAAAATTGTGTTCTGTATGCTATTTACATTGTATTTAGACATGCATGTTGGCAGAATTAGCTTAGTAACCACGTAGGGCAAAGTCACGCAACTTGAGCGGTTACTTTGACTGCTGTTTGGATAGAGACGGCGCAGAGACTGGATCGCAACGCGTGCAAAGTGCATGGCCTAAACCTTGAGAAAGTCGATTTTTGTGTAAATGCTGTGATTCAGAGTCATTCATTAAGCTTGTAACGTGTAAGAATAAGAGCACAAAAAGCTTACTCGTCTGTTTTTCTCGTTTGGTCTCACCATGGATCAAAATACGAACCATGGCTCGCATGCTGCCGAATCTTTATTTAATTTTGAGGCACTTGATTAGTGCATACTCGTTGAAGGCCCGAAGAAATAAGCGATTCACAGCATTATTGTGCTGAATTTCGAAGGAACATATAAATAAAACGGGACTCAAAAGTGATCCACGAGAAACTTATCATGATTCAGTATTCTTGTAAATTTAAGTAGTGAAAAGAGTGTTCTTAGAATTTCTACATTGAGTTTGAAACAGAAGAGTTTGTGGTAAACGTAATTTACAACAATTTTTTTGTTTGTTGATAAACATTCAATGTATAATTAAGTGTTGGGAGCCCAATCATTTTAGCACGCTTTGGGATTGGTCCAGAAAACGCACGCTACTTTCTGCATCAATCAGAACTGCCACCCGTGGCTGCTTTGTCGCGCCTCAGATAACTTGTGTTATTGATGTGTTCAGAAGTGGCGGTAACACAGGTTATTGAATGAGAACAGCAGCCTGCCTGCTTCCTTTTTGCTTCGGTATATCTAAGTCTTAAACGTTTGAAAACCTAAAACGTTTAAAAATTCTCCCAGCGCCACTTCTTCTCGTAATCGAAATGAATAGACAGCTAGATAGTGAGATATTTTTATGTCATAAGGGTCTCCCTATCAGAATTAACAAAGTGAAATCTGTTATCTGCTAAGACCCTACATCTAATGATACAAGTATCTACGAATAACTAAAAAAACATAACACAAAAAGCCACCGGAGAAAAACAGAAAACTTTTGAAATACTGAAGGCGAGAAGACGCACAGTTTTCTTAAGGTGTATGGTTTTCATTTTTGCTTGCTAGTTTTTTTCAGAAAAACGAAGCAGAATTCCCACCATTTTCCCTGAGAAATCAAAGACCTCAACTGTTTGCAAAAGTTGCTGGCAACCTCCAACACCTTTAAAAATGATCCTGAAAGAGTAACTGTGACTAGAATATTTTTTAACATTCGGCTTGGTAATAACGATTCATTTCTTACGGTACTGGAAATTTTACTAATCATATTTTCCAAAGAAATAAACGATTCCATTAAGAATTGCACCCTGCTGCAATAAAGCTTT